ATCTATAGTAATGCTTAATACATATAGATTACCTAGAAAAACGCTAATAACTCATCAAAGATATTACCATTATTGTGACACTTAATTGACATTTCTAAGAATACGAATTTTTCTGGACCTTTCGCGACAAGTGGGGAAAGTCTTATTTAATTGGCTATCACTTAATTGACAATCGAACTCAAACTAGTAGGATTTCTTAATTAGAAAATTCGTTGATATGTTTATACAGCTGTGTGTGGAAGATTATTAAACAAATCATGTTAATTAAAGCGAAGTCAAATCAATATTTTGTGCAGATTGCTAATATAGCTTAAATGTTTATTACTTTGAAATTCCAATGGTTTTAATTAGGCTACCTGCCAATCGCACAGTGGGCTAGAGATAATTAAAAAATTTGCCTACAAAATAACACTCGGCAGATTCGTAAAAGCATGAATGAGTCTCTTAAGTTATTTTAAATTACACGAACGGTGCTGATCGATGTAATCACCCACCACAGGAAAAATTTCATGTAATGCTTATAAGAAAGTACGAACAGTACTACTTCCGTAGGTTTGGGAGCGTTTATCCAGACCGAGCAAGACCTAAGGTGCTGATGACAAACCAAATAAAGCCTTAAAAATCGCAGTAGCAGAAAACTCAAAAGTGTTTGTGTCGCGGTGGATACGACCTCTAAAACGATCTATTGCGCGTGGGCCTCCGTCCTATGTGGGGAAGGCTTTTAATGTATCCTAGCACTTTCAAGGGCATTTCGTTCCAAATTTCAAATGGATTAAGTGTAGCACAACTCAAGTGAGCTAGTCTGCGCTTAGCAGGAGCGTCACATTCACAGACATTGTGTTCTGGCGTTCCTTCGTCCAGCTCGCAAAAGCGACAGGCGTTTTTTTTCTGAAAGATTCATTTTACTGAGGTGATAGCAAAGCGAATAGGGAACCGTGGGTACCTACCCAGTGCGAGTTTTGAAATCTTCTCTGCCTAAATTAAGTGGTTTCTTTGAAGCTTATTTTGAAGGATAGATAAATTATTTGGCTTATCTCTGGCCGGGGCCAATTTACCCAGTTATTTCCAGTTCCCTTTATATGAGCTTTGGTTGGCCCACAAAAGGGTTCCGGACTATGGTTTACTGCGGTAGCTCGTTGTTTCGCTAGACTGTCAGCCTCCTCATAGCCATCATGTCCTTCATGTCACGGCACCCTTCCTAATTGAACTGTATTCTTGACTCCAACATCTTTTAGGTCATTGCAACAATCACATACTAGCTCGGAACTTATTTTGTGGGACGTCAGGGTCAAAGCGGCTGCCCGATTTCCGACATAACACAGATACATATATTTCGAGGATGTGCCTCTACTAAAGCTTTCTCTGTCGAAAATTGCTATTGCATGAGCCTTCGCTTGAAAAATGGTGTTTTAACTACCCATTGGAATCGTTTTTACGATATTCGGTCCAAATGTGCCCACCCCAGTTTTTCGATTTTTCAGCTTAGATCTGTCTGTATACCAAACCTCAGCCGGAGGAACGCTTTCGTTGACGGCTAGCTGTATACATTCTGAAGATATTATAAAGTTATGTCTCGAATCGTATTATTCAGTAAAATACCGAAGTGTGTAGAAAGAGGTTCGTTATCACCGCCGTAGTTCCAGAAGGCTCTGTGCAAGGTCCATTGCCATGGAAAGTAAGGCACAACGGAGTTTTTGTATAACTCTTACTTCGGGAGCGGAACTCGTAGGTTTCGCTGACGGTCGGGCGCTAACGAATATTGAAATGTGGCTAAAGTTACTATTTCGCTAGCAAAAGAAAAGCGCATGTAAAAACCAGAGACTGCAGCTAAGGCTAAGGTTGGGCTTTCGACAACAAGATGAGTATGTTACTCAAGAAGCTTCGCAAATGAACAGCTCATTCCTTCCAAATGTGGACGGTCGAATAAGTAGCAGAAGCGTTCTCCATTCAAATGTCCTATTTTCTTCTCTATGGAACTCCGATTTTGGCGCACTCGTTGCCGAATAAAAGCATCGGTGTACAAATTAGATACACAGCGCTTTCAAATCGACTTCGGATGATGTCGTGATCGTAATAGCTGATATGCAGGGAACGGATTTTATGGAAATTGGCTTTTTTTCTGCTAAAGAGATAGAGTATATACGATTAAGAATGTCCACGATTTAGCTTTCCCTGATTCCATATATACACATTTGACGTTACCTTTTTTTGCCTTTTTTAAGATATTTGCCTTTTTTTTGGCTTTTCTACCTTTAAAAAAATGATTATAGCATTTACAATTTTTTTTTAAGATTAAAAAATATACGCTTATAGAAGCGCAGGGACCTCTTGCCAAATTGGTGTTGGAAAAATTCAAAGCCGTTTTCTCAGCTGTCGTAGGCTTGGAGACAATAAGGGATCTAAAAAAGGGAGCTAGAATGACAAGAGAAGTTTGGCCTATAAAAGTTAGGCCAAAGTTGGTTCACATACATACATACATATATTATTTCGAGTGTCTTATGCAGTTATTTTTTCTAAGAAAAAACTGAGGTTTTCTTTATTAATGGGAACAAAAATGTACCTTTTTGTTTTTCCGTTGTCAAAATAATAAAGTCTGCAAGCGAAATTTATCACATACATATTGCCATTTCACGTGCTTCTCCCCTTGATCACCCCTTCGTAGCTGTCATATTTGAAGTGTGTAGGGCGCACAGTTACTCTGACAGTTCGGTGCTTATCTCCAGCGATGCGCCACTTATCGGTGATTTTCGAACAAGTAGTGATTTTGTTTTGCCGTTGTTTGGATTGTTTGCTGTTTTTTTTTTCCTTTAGCACCTGTTGATAGCGTTTCACACTTGTCTCTGATAAGCAGCGATTTTTTTTTTTT